TGAGATATAATAACAGAGTTGCTTGCGTCTAGCCGAGTGATAAATCAGCACGGCTGTTGCGTGGTATAGACGTGGAATAAATTAAGGTTATGCGTGTACGTGAGTATGAATACACGAGTAATTGGCTGTCCTCTCACGAGGAAGCTCGAATAATAACGGCCAGAGTTTTGCGTATGACGTTAGTGCAGAAATCACACGGGTTAGGCGTGTCATAGACGTCGAAAGTATGCGGTTTCCGTCTCTCTCCCTCTCTCTCTCCCTCTCTCTCTCCCTCTCTCTCTGGGAGCGAGAGAGAGAGAGAGAGAGAGAGAGAGAGGGCAGAGGGGTTACGCACGCGCGTACGTGTAGCAGCAGCACACGCGCTATGATGAAGTCCTACATGAAGGACAAACATCATAACTCCCCTTGATTCGCACTTTCGAATTTTATGGAAATATATTCAGCAGCGAGTGATGTTTTGTGCTGCAACGTGTTTATCACATCCACCGTTATTTGAAAAGTGCGTGTCGTGCGTATACGGATGGTGGCAAGGGTTGTGCATATGCGTTCATAGTGGAAGCGGCAATAAGGCTTCGCATATGAAGTATAGGTGGTACTTGGAAGCTCTCTCCCAGTATTATGACTATCATCAGAAGTAGATCCCTATATATTATCTACTTCTGCTATCATGGAGCTACCGTGCAGTCTGCATATCTCTGGCGCACGAACATACGCACACGCGCACGCACTCTCATGCATGTTCAGACACGCTTCCCTCACATATATGAAACTGGCATTGTTTGTTCGTCACATGAATTATTTGCGTGGAGAAACAATAGTTGTGATGGATAGTGGGAGGCAGTGAGGTCATTGTTTGCACGTCGGTGTAGGGTTTCGGCTGACTCACATCGGTTGGCATGGGCAATGCCTCCGATCCAATGTCTTCTACTACCAATCCATCGGCCAGCTATAGTCATTGGGCGAGACAGCTGGCTAGTCTGCCTGGCTACTCCGTGTGTGCTCCGTGTAATTATAGATATCACTGTCTCCTTGATGACCGGCAGTATATATGAACGCGCACAGGCACACACACATTTATATATAATTAATTAATTATGACATTTAATTAATTGCTTGACTTTTGGGAACCATATCAATCGCTGTTTTTCATCATCTGTGTTTGTGGTTTTCATACAAATTATGTGCCTTAATTTCAAAGTCCTTGCTATATTTGTAATTTTAGCATTTAAATCTGTTTATATATATCTATAAAGCTTTTATATATCTGTGCAGTAATAGTGATGAATTTCATACACTTGTCCCATGTGTCTGATGCAGTGTTACAGAGTCGAAGCACATTGAGATTGATGATAGTAATAGCGAATGCACTACTCCCTGTTATTAAATTTAGCTAAATAATGACATTCCTTATGTGCAGGTTTATACGTGTTTTTCATCTCTATTTTTTCATTCCATACAATATAAGTCTTGTTAAAATTTCCAAAGTTTTGCATTTAATTATGAGCTTGCATATTACATTGGTTAGCAATAGTTGAGCCTGTTGATTGGTCTGCCTGCTTGTTAAAATCTTGCGAGTTGTATGATTAGTTCTGTCTGTATTATTCGCAGTCATGACATTTCGAAGTTGGTGGGAATAATTGTAAACGACGTCTGAGATGAGAGTAAATCCGATATGGATTTCTAATAGTTTCAAGATGATCTATATATAAATTTATTATTTTGTTTTTAATTACATTTTTATAGTTGTTAGTTTGTAACCATTGACAAAAATGCCTTCATTGCAATCTGAGCAATTGAATAGACTCGAAATGCGTGCTAATAGATGCTACTTTTTTATTTTTAGGCTGATTCAGTATCCAAATTCGAGCATGCCTTTCAAGTTTCAGCCCTTCAAAAGTATTATTAATGTAAACGTGAAACTACAAAATTTGCACGTTCAAACTAACCTGAAAAATGCAACTTTTACACTTTCGTACTTTTGTAAATGGTAAGCAGCATAGGATTTTAGTGAAATACCACTTTGAGCTGTCATATGACTCGGATTCGCCAAAACAATCACAATCGTTTAATAAAAAAATTGGAAAAAATATATAATGAGTGATTCTGTCTGTTGGTTTACGTTGTAGTAATGATGTCACGAGGACCTCTCGCCCCTCCCCCTCCCCCTCCCCCGAAGACACACATGTTGTCTCACAAGCCCCAGATGGAGGAGAAAAACATAGTGGGAGTTCCGGCGCTGTTGGACGACTTGTACAAGCTGTCGCACGATCAGACGACCGCTGACATGCTCTTCATCGTCGGACCGGAAGAGGAAAGGTTCTACTGTCACAAGCTCATCCTATACGCGAGGTGAGCTCTATAGCTTCACTTCTTCTTAATCTGAGCACATGCTACCCAATGATTGAGAATTTTCTCGAATGTAGACGTGCATATATTTGTATTTATTCAACTCTCTCCAGCTTTGTGCCACAAGGCAGAGTATATAGTAAGGCGGGAAGGAGGGAAGGTGTGTAGGGGGAGTGTGCATGGTTGCTGTTCGTGAAGTGAAAGTTGAGGGTGGTCTCATATTGGTTTTACTAAACAAACTTTTTCGGGTCATTATGACTGGATACTGTCTTACAGTGACGGGAGAATTGTAGGCATCTGTCACTAAGAACTGGATGTGTCTCACTAAGGCATTTATACTGGATGGAACAGTCAGTGAGGCATTAGAGGTGGTTATTCGTTTCATTGGGGGGCATTAGCAATGTGTAGGGTAAATGCTACATTATGCTACTGTCAGACCTCCTGTCGAGATTGCACTTCAAAGATAAAGTGGTTTTGATGTTTTTCGGGGTATATTTTGACGTGGATTGCTTGGCAAACATGTCAGGGAGTGACAGGCTTACAATAGAACACCCGGCACCGGCCCGGCCCAGCGCGATCTGAGATCGCGTAGCCACTCATAGAGGTCGGGAGCTGCCATACAACGTGTCTCCGTGCGACGATTCATGGCCAGGACAGTAATTCTCCACTCACTACCGCACATAGAGCCGCGTGACTGCTACGTACTCATTCCCCCCTCCCACCGCTCCATCTGTCTGTGTGTGTGGGGGAGGGGGGGTTAGCTTTTTCGCAGTCCTGCGAATGGTAGTAGTTTGTCATCTGAATTCTGCGCGAAATCGCTGAAGCGAATATATATTTGAGCTAGAGATTTCTGCGACTTGATCAACACGAGATGGTCGATTCGCCGTCGCTGACTAGGGATGAATGCTGCTCGGGTGCCAGCACGAACTATCCGCTGGAATGGCTGAGGACGTATATAATATCTGTAAGAATGCGGGCGCTGCGCTAGTTTCCGCGGCGCGCGATTTTCTCCGCACTGGATGCAGACAAGCGCAGCACGTTCGTCGCGCAGACATTGTTCACGTCTCGGCAGCTCGCAAGCTAAATATTGACAAGTCTGTTTTGCATGTTTCCTGGGTCAGTTAATCCTGGCCGAGAAAATATTGAAAGCCACGTTGTATCGGAGTGCGAAGCTGAGGCCCGTACCAGCAGTACACTGCCGCACATCCTCCCGCTGCCTATATAAACCGGACTTTGTGCCGAGATTACGTGGGTGTGTGATTAGCGGAAAAAACCCTAACCCTCGGCTTTTATCGCGTGAATGCAGAGTGTTAGAGAGTTTTGCAGAATTGTTCATAATCACATCGTCAAATATTATTGCAAGCGGGCAGTGCCATCGTGCGTGTTGCGATCGCTGCGTTGCTAATCCCTATCCTCGCCTACTGCGGATAACTCTTTTGCTGGTTAAACAAGTCGGTGAGCCCCATCAGCCATATCCTGCAATTTCACTGCGAGGTTAGCTAGGATCTAGAAATAACAAAACTGGCATTTTGCTTATATACTATCCCATTGCCAACTGTGTTGACGCTGTGGTGTGCGAATGTGTTCAGCATTAAAGTTTTAGAAACGTTGTGAAATTTACTTTGTCATAAATCGTTTGGCTGTGCACATTAATATATTGTCTGTCATATTACCGTGTCGTTTTTCGTTTTCCATCTTAAACTATTACTTAGTAAGGTTATGAAGAACAACAGCTCACAAGAAAATTGCCAAGCATGCACAACTTAGCGTGTAAATAATAACGTGTATATGAGTAATGTAACCAGTATATATATGTACACGCGTCATGATAACAACTAAGTGATCACGTAGCATGTGTGCATGCATATAAGGTTTAATCATTTTTGATGAAATGGTCTAGTAAACTTTGCTAAATTAGTGAAGTTTTTTGAAATTGTTGAACCATTCCTGAATGATTCCTGAACCAATTAGTAATAATTTTGATCATGGTAATTATACTGATAACAAGATAAATCATACTATGAGTATTAACCCCACAGTACTTATAAATAGTATCAGGAGTGTATCAATTGATACAGTCAATCAATTGATACACTCCTGATAGTATATTAATTGTTAGATTAAAAGATAGTATGAAAAATTGCATAAGCCATTAATTAGCTGTTGACAGATGCAAGATCACTTAGCCTTAAGGATAACTCCCATGTTAATTTAACATAGCCTACCGATATCTGTTGCCAAAAGTGACTGTTTAACAAACTTTCGTCATGTCGCGAACCCCATGCACTGACCACTTACTTACACATTTGTGAGGACCGTTGATGAGTGACAGTTCACAGTTTGACTGTAGTTTATCAAACATTCAATCACTGACATGCGCGTGACACATGGTGAAAACTGGATCTTGGGCCAAGCTGTAATTTGTGTACTGAAGCTTCTGAAGAAAGCTGGTTGGTGTGAGTATATATCTATATATATATATATACACAGGAGTATATAATAATAGATCTATTATTATACACTCCTGATATATATATAGATATATATATATATATATATATATATGCTGTGTGTGTGTTTAGGTGGTGGGTGAAGATAGGAATTCATAGAGTATAATTATGTGACAGGTAGACAGGTAGTTAGAACAGGTAGTTATGGCACAGACATACATGTTTAGATGTCGCATGGGGGAAAGAAAATTACAGAACGTGCTTAGGTGACGTCAGATCGGTTGGGTGAATGCAGAGGGTTAATAGTAGTATGTGTATATATTTCAGGTAGAGTGTTATTTTAAGGATGAGGTGTTTTGGAAACACCATACCTGAATTTGATGTATTTACATGTTAGGTAGTGGGTGAGGTATAGGGAATGCGTCCATGTCATATAAAGCGGATAAATGCAAGAGGTTATTGAACATACGTGGTGATCTTTGGTGCAGCAGGTGGTGGTGGGACATTACATCTATGCACGTCTTATATGTAAGGGAGGCAAGTGTTGCTAAGGGCCAACAACCAAGATGGGAGGATAATTTCAGAAATTAATTTATTACAACATCTGAATTATGTTGACCTTCTTCGAGTTCATGCATATAACGTGATGTAAACGTGTAGCTATACTATTTCACTATCGGCAGTAGTCTCTTGTGTACGCCTGACTCTTTGTTATTTCCCAACTCAATGAATCAGTAGATATTAAGTAGGGTCTGGGTTTATAGAGATTGATCATTCACATATGCAGGATATTTGTTTTGCGAATAGCCTAGTATAGGCTAACACGGGCAATTTCATGACTCACTACACCTGTATATTTTCACAGGTGATGTTTTGTGGATATTCGCAATCTGCCTGCAGTAATTTGAATAGTAATTGTCTGGACCTGTTTGAAAACTGGTCCATAATTGCTGCTGTCGTTCTAGATTAGATGATTTCATAAATTGGTGAAGCAAAACGTATTATAAGGTATGGGTTTGGTAAAAGCTGGGCTAAGTAACGTACGTAAATACAGATTTTAAATAAATAGATCCTAATTCATAATTCTAATCTCATAATCTTCAAGTTGATATGTTAGATAACAATTAGTCATCTGACATCACTGCATGTTTATCATACAGATTTGGCATTACACTAGGGCCTGGATTTTACAATGAATTATACGAGGTACGATGTGTGCGTGATCGATTGCTTGCTAGGGTGTATGTGCCTACGTGCGTGATTGCTTGCTTGGGTGCATGTGTGTGTGTGCGTGCGTGCGTGCGTGCGTGTGTGCGTGCTTGCGTGATAGCCTCAAATTTTCTGATATTCATTGTTGACTGTTTCTGTGTACATACTTCTGCTGATCCTTCTCAGGGCACGTGAGCCAACCAGTGGATTGACCTTTATCACCACCGTATACCACAGACCTACGGAGTAGAATCCTATAGCTATTCTGATTCTAACAGTTGTCGCTTTTTGTTGATGACCCGTCTGCCTAAAAGATGCCTACTGCAGTCTACCTAAGAAATATTTTGAAGTCAGTAGATGACTTTGCACGTAATTCCCAATGTGATACAGAAATGAGTCCCTATGAAAAGGACAGTGTTACGGCTGTAGCATTTCTGTACAGGCTGTACTATTAGGCAGGGCCGGATTAGGCTATATAGTGCGGAGCCTGAAGCATATGTTATAAAGGGGCCCTAAATTTATAAAAATCACATAAATATTAAAACATAAATCTAATACATTTGTAATAGATTTACTGACAAATAAACTCTGCCAGCACTCATTATCAAGTTGCCGTGTATACTAAAATACTTTTTTTATAATAACAAAATTTAACTATTAGTATTAGATATTACCAGGAGTTCATTACGGAGTTCATGATATTACGGGACCCCTAAAACCACGGCCCCATAGCAAATGCTACTTTTGCTACTATTGTTAATCCGGTAATGCCTGTAGGAATTGTCTGGGAGTTTAGATTGCACGGTTATTACACGTAAGTCACTGCTCAGAGATTACATAACGAACGTGCATCCATGTATCTCATAGCCTGGCTGCCTTCAGGTCGACATTTCATTTAAACCTGCTCTGATGTTTGGCAGCACACAACAGACCTTGCAACAGGAGCGGAGCGCTACGCTGTGATTCGCTGCGTCGTACCCGCCATTCGCAACAGGTGAGCAGCCGCAAGCACCAGACCCGACTAGCGGATAGACGCGCAGATGGCTGTCAGATATCACAGGCGTGCAGCGCATGGCGAATGTCAGAAATGCCCTGTTTTAATCCCTTAAACAGCCAATTTTAAAATGCAAGCGCGCACTCGGTGACAATGGCCGAATCATGGGATTCTGCCAATCAAATTTGTCACGCACAAAGAGCGCGCTTGACTCCTTCGTGGTGCGACGCAGCGCCCCTACGGCGCGGCGTCGCTCAAACGCCGTAATGTCGTCGCTAGGGAGTGATTTAATTGTCTCCAGCGAATCTCGGTAAATGTCGAGCGCGTTGTTTGCGGAATTGATCATTTCC